ACGTTAAGAACGTTTAAACGGCTAACCCTCTCTTGTAAATATATAAAGCCAATTTTTTTTCTATTTAAACAGGAATCGGAAGTTTATATTTCAATTGTATAATTTCAGTTAAAATTTTGATTTTCTCTTTTATATGTTGTTAGAGTTATTTGGAAAACGACATTTTAGGCATGAGGAAAGGCATTACTCAGCAGCAGATTATCTTAGTGGTTATTACGTACTTCATTCAGGTAAGAAAATCGCTTATTGAGCTTCTTTTCTCAATTACCTCTTGAGGGGCATGTTATTCCTGGCCTTGTCTTTTAAAAGTCTATTGCAGCAAAATCTTGTGAAAACCTGCCAAGGATCTTGGAGGTTTTATGTATGTTGAAGAACTTTGTTTTTCGATGTATCTTTGGATATTGTGACCTATCTGGAAACGAAAGGGCAGACCAGGTGACTGGACGAGGAGTCCTCGAGATCGCAGTTTTACTCTAAACTCAGCTTAGAGGAGATGACAATGCTAAACGAACCCACTCTTAACAGACGCTGTATCATCAGTCATCTCGCGACCCCAAATATGATATCTATGAACTAACTCAACGAGAGCAGATTTTAATCTCGCCTTGCGAAAGGGGCGCAACAGGCAAAGCCCTCTTGTTCGGAAAATTCCACATTGGCTGCAGTATATTCTGCAAGTGCGGAAAAATTGAATAGAATGTCTAGCATATACATCAGAGGTGCCGGTTATTTTCTTACCCAAATGAGGTTGATCTGGATATTCCTAACTGACGTGCAATATCATATTTACTTTACGGAATCATCGAGGAAAGCTTGGTTTTATTATAATCTCTCACCGGGCCGTCGAAGGGGATAAGGCAGAAGAAGAAGTTTATTGTTGTGTGAGTGTACTTTATGATGAAATGAGGATTATAGAATACCTATCTGTTGACTGATAGTTGTTTGTCGCAAGTCAGATTGTAAAGTTTTGTTGCTGTTATTAGTTTTAAAATTTTGATTTTAAAATATTGTCGTCCTAATAAGTACACCTTTTTTGCTGAACCGTAATTTGTGAGGTGCACCTTATGTCCATATATGTGGGTTTGAGTAGGTGTTTAATTGTTTTCTGATTTTTAATTTCGATTAGGAGAGAAAAGTGAGTTTAGTATTTTCAGTACTTTGTTTGAAGTTTTGACGTACAGGCCTCAGGTATGCTTTTGAATAATATTAGTCCTAGATAATGTTCATTGCCCATTTGAGAAATTTGGATATCTTTGATATATTCTGGTGAACACGTGTCTTTATCCAAGTTTTATGGTATATTTGGTGATATATAGGAATTCCAAAGTGAATTCCAATTTTGTAAATTCCGCAAGTGATTTGACAAGTTAAGTTTAACTTAATTTTTTTTTATAATTTGATAGAGGTAAAAGTGGTTTAAGGGATAACATAATAATAGGGTCATTGATCTGATTTTTAGAGTTTATAGATTAAGACGATTCTTGTATAACACCTGCATTACCGAATGATTATGTTAAATTGATATCAGGTTAAAATAATAGTGTATATTAAAAGTTATCATGTATCACTTTAAATTATTTAAAATTACATAACCCGATGAAAATTAAGTAATCCGTCCTGGAGATCCCAACTACCTACCGTTCCTTCGTGACTAGGAATGCCTCGTTTGCATAATCCAATTGTAAGGTGGCTTAATATCCATTAACTCTCAGGTTCTAAAGAGCTACTCTCATGAAGTTAGATCATTTCAACGATACCAGCGTGTGTTTGTACATCACAAACATTTCCCTATTTTAAAATATACAAACCATACAAGTGCAGATGGTTTATTAGTTAGTGCAATCTAATATAAGAAACCCACAAAGAATGTAAAATACGTTAAATACGCTCTATCAAATAACCAATAAAAATGAATCACTACTGTTTATTTTCACATAGGTGTGAATGTGATTTATTTACTTTAATTTCATCTAACTTTTATCTATTATTTCATTATTTTTTTTGTACACAGGCATACCAATTTACTTATTTTATTTTTTTTTTAATTTCTTTCTCTTTATTATTGATATTAATTGTATGTACATAGTGTGTGAATGAATCATGTAGCCTTAATATTAATGCCCTTCAATGTGACAGAATGTATTAATATTCAATAAAGAAAATAAAGAAACTGTTTATTTATTTGTTTATATCGAAAAGTTCGGTGCGGTACTCACCCAATAAACCACCAACTTAATTGATCAACCCTAAATATAATACGATAGTGGACCATTTTTCCTGCTACCAGGAGTTATGGATTTCTATGAATGTGGCATTAGAAAAAGGAATTTTATAGAGAAATGTCAAATGTCATTTTTAAAACTTAAAACCTTTGCGTAATAATATACGCAAGTTCAAGACAGGAAGGAATGCCGCTGAGCTCTTCGCTCACTCGCGTCGATCAAGTTACCTGTACTCTTACCGACAGCAGACCAGCTAATTGTCCTTGCTTAAGACAGGGGTGGGTGAAGATATAAAGTTTAAAAAAAAAAGTACATCGACTTCAATAGAAGTCATTAAATTATTAGAAAGTTCAAAAATCTACGGATTGAGACGGGATGAATTGTGTTTTAAAGGTTTCAATGCAGACATCCAGAGCCAATGTAATTCCTCTGGAACTATCAGGATCAACATTTTAAATCTCTGAAATGGTTCGATATTAACCTATATTTTTGTGGAATATCTCTTAGGTGCCATGGTTCTCATGAGCTATTATCGCATATTCTTTTTTTTTTTTTCAATTGAGTATTAATACAGTCTGCCACACTGAAGGGCACACAATATGTATACAAGAAAGCATTGCCAACCAAGTAAGAAGAGAAAGAAAAAAAAAAAGAAAGATATATATATATATATATATATATATATATATAATATATATATATATATATATAATATATATATATATATATATATATATATATATATATATATATATATATGTATATATAGAATAGAAAAATAATTTTATTCTGGGACGAAGTCCCTTCAGAATAACAAAAAAAAGTACAGAAATTAAAATTTTATATCTGGGCAGATAGAAACAAATATAAAAAGTTAAGATAAAGATAGATCATTAAAAAAAAAAAGAAAAAAAAATATTGGTTATACTTACTATGTACAAAATAAAAAAAAAAATCTGTATAAAAAACTCTTGAAACCATACTAAGATACTTAAAACTATGTACAATGTTAAAATATAAATAAACCCTTTTAGAAAAAATAAAAAATGCAGACAAAATAAATGTAAATTCTTCTTAACAGTAAAATCTGTGCTTCTGTTGAAAAAGAAAAAAAAGAAAGTCGAATCTATAATAAGTATTTAGGTTATGAGCTATATGTGAATATGTTATTATAAATAATATGTAATTTTACATAAAAAGTTAGCTAGTATCTGACTGTTTTTGGGACAGGAATTGGAGGGTTTTGAATGTAGATAAGGATGAAGAATGTCGAATTTTGATAGGAAGGGAATTCCAGAAACTAACAGAACGAGCAATAAAGGAGTTTTGGAACGAAGCAGATCTGTGAGAAGGAATGTAAAGGTGTTCGAAGGAAGGTCGAGATCTTGTGGAGAGGGAGTGGACAGAGGACTTGAATTGGAGAAGTTTGTAGGCGTAGGAAGGACGATAATTGTTGATGATATGATAGAGGAATGTACCTAGGAAATATTTTCTTCGAATGGAGGGGAAGAGCCACTCAAGCTTAGTGTAATGGTGAGAGACATAGTAGTATCTCGGGGCACCAATTACAAATCTCACGTAATTGTTCATTAATCTTTTCAGTCTGTCGCGGAGCTCCACCGAGAGTCCATCATACACCACACAGCAGTAGTCAAAGTGGGGAAAGATGAGAGAGGAAACGAGGAGTCTACGCGTATGTTGAGGTAGGAGATGGTGGAAGCGATGGAATAGTTTGAGGGTAGAAACTGTCCGTCGGGAAATGTGAGAAATATGGTGACTCCAGGAGAGGGTTTGATCAATAAATAGTCCTAAATTTATTACAGAGGAGTAGAAGGAGATTGGCTGGTCACCAAGGTTTAGTATGGGAAAGTCGGTATAGGATCTAAGGAGGGGCTTGGAACCAATGACGATGGCCTGAGTTTTTTAAAGCATTTAACCTTAATCCGTTTAAGTTTGCCAAGGCACAGATTCGATCTAGGTCTGCTTGGATCTTAGTAAATGCTACCAATAGATCAGGAGGAGAAAAGGATAGGTATATTTGAGAATCGTCTGCATAAAGGTGGTGGGAACAATGGAGAATTAAGTCATGGAGGTCATTAATATAGGAACTAAAAAGGAGAGGAGATACGCTAGATCCTTGGGCAACTCCAGAGGATAAAGGCAGGTAGGCAGATAGTGATTGATTAGGAATGGAGATTGCTTGGGTGCGGGGGGGGGGGGGAGATTGGAACCAAGATATGGAGCTATTGGAGAAGGAAAGTGATTTTAGTTTGTTGAAAAGGATGGGATGGTTAATGGAATCGAAGGCTTTAGAGAAGTCAAGAAGTATAAGGACAGTTAATTGTTTATTGGAAGGTTATCTACCTATGATAAAGTGTTATTGTGTTTCTCAGTGTTTTGTATTTTTCAAGTTTGTTTTGTTAGTTTTGTTGTATCGTTTCCTACTGTTTGTGTTATTTTAGTGTTTTATAGTTTTTTGAACATGATTTAGTTTTAGTTTATGTTTATTTAGTTAATTTTATAAACTTTTTGAGTGAACAGTGGAGGTTAAGGTTAACTTTGTGGTTTTCACGAAGGTTTAATCTAACCAAAAGGACGTTTAGAGACTATTACGTTGGTGAAGCACTAAGGTAAGTTCATATTAAAGTCTTACTTTTGAAGATAGGAAATTTATAAGTTTCCCGAACATAGGTTAGATTTTGAGTGTTGAATATTTCCTTCTACTGTTGTTCACCCATTATTTCAACGTATAAAGTTGTTAATTTTGGATTGCGTAAGATGGCTGATGAAATTGCATCAGCAATGGAGCAGGAAATGGTGGAAGAACAGGCTATAAAGTGCCCAAGGCCTTCAGCAAAGAGGCAAAGGAAAGGATCTCCTGACGCCCGAGAAGAAACAGATAAAGAACGTGTAGACGATAGTCTTCTGCAAGATGCACGTAGAATCAAAGAAAACATCAGGGTCTACATGAACGCAACAGACAGGAACGTGAGTGCGAAGGTACAAAAGCACGTTAATGGGAAAATTCAGCAGTTAATAGATATAATGGAGACAATATATGATAAGAACTATGAAAAAACGTTTTTAGTACAACGTGTGGTAAAGGACACATTAGCTTCCTCTGAAATGTATGATATCATAGTAAATGCATTAGTGGAAAAAGCTGTACCTATGGTTATCGAGGGACTCAAGACGGAAAGTAAAACCATACAAAGACCACTGTCAGAACCTCAGACATCTCGGGAGTTTCCATGCGTTAAAGAACAACCGCTATTAGCCGATGCCCTTATTGAGACCACGGAGAATGAAAGTTTCCAGGAAGTAAAGAAAAAGCAAAGAAGGAAAAAGGCTCTTCCACAAGTGGCCAAAGAGATCGAGGCCTCTAAACCAATAGCAGAGGAAAGTTTGACCAAGAAAAGGTCTACACATCAGACTACGATGGCCGATATTGTTAAAGGGCTTCCATTAAAACCGATGGATACTACAAGACCAACTTATGTTACCATCGCTTCTCAAGGTAAAAGTGCAGCTGACATCATCAAAAATCTGCCTTCTCCAACTGAACTACGAGTCAAGGCGAGAGTTGTACGGGCGACCAAAGCTGGCTCAGTTTTAGTTTGTGTAGATGAGGGTGCCCATGCGAAAAAAATAATTGAATGGCAAAAATTAAAAGAAGTTGGGATGGAGGCAAAACTAGCCTTAAAAAGAAAACCAAAAGTGGAGGTAAAAGGAGTTCCCCTTTCATGGAGTGCGGAAAATCTAGAAAGGGTGCTATGGGAAAGGTTGGCTGCAAAATCGGCCGTTATTTCTGAGAACCAATTAGGTAATATAAAGCCATTGTTCTCATCAATGGCTAGAAATAAAATTACCAATAATTGGGTGTTAGAAGTACATCCAATGGTAAGATATAATCTACTCAAGGAGGAAATAATTACAGGAGGTTGGTGGTCACTGACAATCTTAGATTACCCCGATGCTCCTCCCTGTCTAAGGTGTCAGGGATATGGACATACAAAAGCTACTTGTGAGGCAAATGGCATAGTATGCAAGTGGTGTGCGGCGAGTGGGCATATTGCTAAAAACTGTCCCGCAAAAGGAAATAAGACCGCACCTACATGCGTTAACTGCGTGAGGGAAGGTGTTCAAAAAAGTAAGGCTAAACACCAGGCAGGAAGTAGAGAATGCCCAGTGCACATCAAGAGATCTCAAGAATTAGTGAGGAGAACTCACTATGATTAGACTCAACATCCTGCAGTTGAATATGGGCCGCCGGCATATTGTGGCTGACGAGCTTCGCGCCATGGCACAACGCTACGATATCATGGCGGTCCAGGAACCTAGCTGCCGTGGGAACAGGGTTACGGGGTTTGGCCTCACGTCAAGAGTTATAGCCCTGAGCAGTGGAGAGAGGAGGCCCAGGGCTGCAATAGTGATTAATAATCCTAACCTTGACGTGATGGATCTGAGACAACACACCATGGCGGATTATGCATCTTGCTATGTTAAGTGGGGCAAGATTTCTTTCACATTGGTATCGGCATACCTACCTGTGAATAGTGATGTAGAAGAAAGCATATCCGCTATGGAGGCGATCATTAGAGAGATGAGGAATGTGATCATGTGCTCAGATACCAACTCCTGGAACACGGTCTGGGGGTCCAATATTACTGACAGGCGAGGCGCTAAAATGGGAAATTTCATAGGCAGAAATCACCTTGTCGTGATGAACGAACCCTCTGCCATCCCTACCTTCTCTGGAGGCATGGGGCAGAGTTGGATTGACGTCACGATCGCCACGCCTGCGCTTACGAGGTATATTGCTGATTGGACTCTCAGATCTGATACGAGTTCCGATCACGTTGCGATAGCAATTGGCCTGGTAAATGAGCCAGAATGTTCCCACGGTACTGATAAGGGTTTCGTCACTAAAATAAATGACTGGAGTGTCTTCAGGTCCTACCTGGAAGGAGTGATTGCAGACGAGGAGTGGGAAGCGGCAGAGATGGATGTAGTTGACAATCTTGACTACAAGGTGTCCAGGATTACCAACAACATTCGTGATGCTGCCGAACACTCCCTCAAGCACCGGAAGGCGAGGGTTCGACCTGTCCCATGGTGGACGCCAGCCTTAACTGTTCTAAAACGAGACCTCTACAAGGCCCGGCGGTCATATCAGAGGTGCAGATGCGAAGAGAGGCGCACTGTACTTCGCAATTAGTACAAGTCAAAAGCCAGGATATACCGAAACGAGGTTCGCTCACAAAAGCGGAAGTCTTGGGATGATTTCATCATTGAAGAGTCTTTGAAGAATCCCTGGGGTATTCCGTATAGGGTAGCATTGGGTAAGTTGTCCCCGATGCAGACTATTGCAGCCTTGCGGTATCATAATACTGAGGCAACCACCCTTAAAGAAACTGCCAATGTTTTCATTGAAGCAATATATCCCAGAGATGACCCAACCCAGGACAGCGAAAATGATGATTTTGTGAGACGCACCACGGTATATCCACCTGGTTCAGATTTGTGCCCACCATGGGACATTCACGATCTTCGTATTGCCGTGGATAAGCAGAAGACTAATCGTGCTCCAGAAGACTAATCCAATGCTCGTGAAGACTTGATGCAATAGATGCAGCGATCTTGCGGAACAGTATCACGTATATTGAAGACCGGCTGTTGAGTATTTTCAATGAATGTCTGGATATGGGATACTTTCCAAGAAGATGGAAGATCGCTGATTTGAGACTACTCTACAAGGGAGGAGATAGGGACAAACAACTCCCTAATTCATATAGACCTATATGTCTCCTCCCTGTGATTAGCAAGGTCCTGGAGAACCTCATGATGACTAGTTTACGGCCTGTTTTCGCTAGAGCAAGTCATCCACGGCAATATGGATCAACCAGAGGCAGAGGAACCGCTGATGCCCTGCTGAGAGTGCGCAGAGATGTTGAGGAGAGGGCGGAGCGGTATGTCATGTTGCTTCTTTTCGACATATCCTCCGCCTTTGACAGCGTATGGTGGCCTAGCGTGCTCCAGCAGCTGCAGAGGTATGATGCTCCTAGTAACTTATACACATTAGTAAGAAGTTATCTCCAGGATAGAAGTGTCAAGATTAGAGGCAATTACTACGAGGTAGAAGCTTCCATAGAGAGAGGTTGCCCTCAGGGATCGGTGCTTGGTCCTGCTCTATGGAAGCTCGTCTTTGATGAGTTACTAGGAGTGTTAGAGGAGGAGCGGTTTCCTGCCACTGCTTACGTTGACGACCTAGCTGCTGTGGTGGCCTCCAACAGCAGAGCTGGAGTCAAGAGAGAAGCAGAGCGATGCGCCAGCCTAGTCGCTAGATGGTGTGAGGGGAAGAAGATGAGGATGGCTGCTGCTAAGACTCAAGCCATCCTCCTTAAGGGAAAGACTGATAGGGCACACCCTATAACGATGTACATAGAAGGTCAGAGGATACGTCCAAGTGAGGTGGTAACCTACCTAGGGGTTAGGTTAGGTGTAGGCCTCAATATGACGCCTCATTTGGAATATCTGGCAGGTAGGGTGGCCCTAGCAATGAACGGTCTAAGTCGTGTGGGGGGCGCATTATGGGGCCTTAGGTATCCAGCCACTATCACTATTTATAAGGGTATTGTGGAGGGTGTCCTTAGGTATGCGTCTCCCTTCTGGTTCCGAAACCTCACACTCAGACAAAGAAATAGGCTAGCATCGACTCAGAGAACTGCTCTGCTTCGGGTCACCAGAGCATATAGGTCTACGTCGCATGAAGCAGTGCAGGTCTTAGCGGGGGTGGTGCCTCTCGACCTCCTCCTGCGAGAAGAAGTGACCAGGTACGACTACAAGAAGGAGGGCTCAAATAGTCTGTCGGAGAACCTACGGATGAGGATTATTGAAAACCCAAATAAATGGAAAAAGATTATCCGGGAGGAAACAATTGAAGATTGGAGCAGACGGTGGGTGACGACTCCGAAAGGCAGTACCTTAAGAAAATACTTTCCCACCGTTGAATCTCGGTTACAGGCGAAATGGGTCCTCCCGGACTATTGGGTTTAACAATTTCTCACGGGACATGGGGGTTTCAGAGCTAAACTTCATGGCCTCGGACAGGATATAGATCCCCACTGCCCCGCTTGTGGTGTTCCGGAGACTGTTGAGCATGTGGTCACGGCCTGCACTGCTTTCGACGAATTAAGAGCGAGGTTAATGAGAACGACGGGAATTTACGTCCTCACTGAGGAGGAGTTTCCTCAGTTGGTGAGTGAAGAAAACTTTCCGCGGTTCAAAGACTTTATAAATGGCTGGAAGACGGCGGTGGGCCCAGCTCACTTCAACCTAGGTGCACACAGAAGGAGAAGAGGACCAGTCCCAGGAAGACCTCCGGATTCGGGAAGCCAGGCCTAAAGGAGCCAGGAAAAAGTAGAAGAGCTAGCTGTGTGCACAGCTTAGAATTTTGTAAACTGATATTATGGCAGTAGTGTGTTATTATGCATTAATGCTTAACATCACACTACTGCATACACCCGTGTTGCCCTGGTGGCATGGGAGGGTGGAAAACAAATAAATAAATAAATAAATTGTTTATTATCTATTGCAGTCTGAACATCATTGGTAATTTTGATTAAGGCGGATTGTGTGGAGTAGCCGGGACGGAAACCAGATTGGAGAGGATCAAGTTGGTTGGACTTTTCGAGGAAATTGGAAACTTGGGATTGCACCAATCTTTCTAGGGGTTTTGAGAGATTGGAAAGAATTGAGATTGGGCGAAAGTCTTCGGGAGAGGATGGATTAGGCTTTTTATTTAAAGGGCGTACAATGGCTTTTTTTTCCAAGAAGAAGGGAATATTGAGTTCTGTAGGGAGAAATTGTAGATGAAAAGGGGAACTGGGAGGATTTCGAGGAGACATAATTTTATCAATTTGAAAGGAATGCCATCTGGTCCTATGGAATTGGTGTAGGATTTCATTACTGCGGTTAGTAAGTCAGTCGGGGAAATGTCGGAGAAATAAAAGTCATCATCATTAAATGAGGACTCAGGAGCAAAGCTGGAAGAGGAGGGAAGAGAAGAGGTAGAGGAGGCAGAGATAAAATGTGAATTTAAATCGTCAAGTGAAACGGAAAAGACCAGTAAGGAAGGGAATCTGGAAGGTTCACAGAGGGAAAGTTTGCGAAGGATTAGCCATTTAAATTTGGGATTTGGGGCAGATGAAAGGGCTTCATGGAAGTAGGAAGCTTTAGCTCGCCGAATTCTTGTTTGTGTCAAATTGCGGAGCACCCTAAACGCTTGATAGTCATCTGTAAGCCTGGTACGTCTAAAGCGT